GGGGGGAGGGGAGGGGGGAGGGGGGGAGGAGGGCGGCGGAAGCGGGATGCGGGATCATAAAGGGTCATTCACTGGTTGAGATCTCGGCTGGCAGAGTACTTTGTGCTTCCGCTGATGACCAAGTTGTTGAACATGTAAGGCCTTTCTCTGCTTATCGCAGGTGTGCAGCTGCAGATGCTCGCCTGAAGGAGGGGCCACGAGTTCAAATGCCGTGTTTGTATAGGTTTTTACAGAGTGCAATGGTGGATGCCTGTCAACGGTCACAGGAGCTGGTGGCCCAGGCTGGCAAACGATGGGAAGGGATTCTGAGGAGGGCCGCTGGCGGCAAGGGAAACGCCAAGAGGCGAAGATCGGACAGCTGTCAGCCACGTCAGGCCTAGCCACCGTTCGCAGTTCAGAAATGAAAGAGAGATTCCCTTTGGCCGCGCATTGCACCGTGTCAGTTTCACCTGGTCACGTGTTGGGAAGGCCAGCGGAGAGCACATGCCTGGCCTCTAAGGATCCCGAAGAAGTATCTTTTCGCAGGGACAGAACTTACTGCAAAGGTCTTCTTTGCCATTGAGGATGAAAAGAGATGTGACGTAAGTTCACCTTCTGAACATGTCCTGCCATCGCTGTCTTCGTTATCGAAAAGCTGGAGTCTGCCTCACCTCGACATGGCTCGAGACCAGCACCTTTCAGAATTTCAAGTCCTCTGTGGGTTCAACAAAATGTCTACGGCCTCTGCGAGACGGTCCTAAAGGATACTAAAGGTCCACGGGTCACTGTGGATCTAGAGGTGTTCAACATTCGACCATGTGAGAGCGGTCAATGTCAAGCTCGTTGTCGACGTGGAGGCCCTGGAGGCTCCGCCGGGCATTCGGCGATGGGCTGAAGCTTCTTGTCTTCATGCTTCCAGGACGACAGCGGCCCAACAAAAAAAAAAGTACTACGAGGCCTTCGTGGTGAAGTCTCTCCTACATCTGTTGGCATTTGCACATTTCTTGCGGGCTCGAGTCCCTGCGCAGACGGTCTTGGAGGAGCGAAAGGAGCTGAGGCCACTGTGGTTCGGGCTCTTTGCTGACGTTTCTCGGAATATCGTGAGGCAACAGCTGGACGCCAAAGAAGCTCAGCATGTAGCTGCAATCAAAGAGGCGCCGTTTGCACGAAGTCCGCATGACAGTAAGTCCATGTACTCCGATGTGCAAACAGGGCTACCGGCTAACCCTACATGTGCCCCGCTGATGTAGAGCAAGTATCTGCAGGCATCGGATCATCAACGAGCTCTCTTTGGTGATGCACGCCAGACTGTTTCGGTTCTACAAATAGGTATGGACATCGAGTCCTAGTTGCTGTACATTGAAGAATGTTGCTTCTCCGTTGTCGATGCTTTTCGGCGGTGTTGAGTGAGCATGATCTGTGGTATCTTGACGAGCATGCCGCCTGCGGTTCAGGCAGAACTGTAAAGGAGCCCGGTACCACCTTTTTGCTGGATTGCTGGCAAGGGCTACCGTAATTATCTGTCAGCTGCTGGTGGCGCAAACACGTGTTTCGCACGGATCGGGATTGCACACAGACGATCACACGCTTCAGCCGTAGCTAGCTGCGAACCATGTGCTCTTGCGTATGGCTGAAAATGTGCGTGACATCAAAGTTCAAAGTGAATTTGTGCCCGACTTTGTGTCTTTTCTCTGGTGTGATCATATCGCGCTTTTGTCTTTGCCTCTGGTCTTGTTTTCGCGAAAAGGCAATCACGAAGCGGACAGGCTACAGCATGGCTGTAGCCTTTCAATTGCGACGCAAGTCGCAGCCCCAAAGCCTTGAATCCACATGCCCTACATCCCCGACCCAAATTCCTGCCGCGTGAACCCTGAATCTTGAAATCTATATCCAATTCCTGTAAACCCATCTGCAGCTGACCTCGGTGGCGCTCTGAAGGGCCTTTTTATGTTTTGCGGATCGGAGGCGGAGGCACTGGCACAAATTGCCCGACTCCGTCCGAGAATGCCGCGTGGTTTCCTGAACCCCGTGCATCACAAAGCCGAGAGAATGACGAACTTTCAAAACAGCGGCCTTCCCCGATTTTGGCCTCGGCATTAAGCACAAGCGACAGTAGGGATCACCTGCGGCTTCTCTTGTCAAAGCCGCTCCGTCAAACAGAGCTCAACAGACTTCCAAGTGCCACGGACATGTCTGGCATCTTGGCCTTGTTGTTGCCGTTTGCGTTCGTTTAGCAACCGAGCGCAACTTGCCTCTTAGTTGTAGCGATCCGGCTCGGGGTCTTCTGGGCCTTCTGCAACGGCTGGCCAGGTACAGACATTGCAGGAGAAGCTGCGGCAAAAGAACGAAGCATCGGAAGAAGACAGAAGGCTCCGTCGGCATTGTCTTGTCTGGCGAGCACAGACCCAGGGCTTTGGTCACGTGATTTGCCTAAAGAGGCGCTTAGACGAAGCTGAGCGTCGTGCCGAAGATGCGCAACGAAGATATGATCAGGAAGCGGCGGCAGTTTCTCGGTCTTCTCTTGTATGTGCGGAGCTTTGCCTTCCGCTCCAAGTTCAGGTGGGCCTAGACAGCATTCTGTTCTGCCATTGTTTGGTCCATTGTTTGGTGGCTGTGCGCATATTGTAATGTCACTCCTCAAGCTTTTCTGAAAGCCTGGTGCAAACACTTGCCTCGGCCTCTCCCTTCCTGCAAGGCTTTAGCACACCGGCAGAGCCTGACGGATCTCCAGCGGAATTACGAGTCGGAAAGAAGGCCGAGAAGAGGAGCAAGCCAATGATTCGTGTTGAAGAGGAGAGAGCTGATTCGCCGTCCGCGCGATTCCCTGAAACCGGTCGTGCCTCAAAAGCGCTGTTGCCGTTGCGACATGTTATCCGGGTCGTGTCAGGCTCGGCATCCGGTCAGGTAGAAACCCACGCGCGGAGTGATGGATGGATACTCACATCTCGCCTCATGACCGCCGGTTCAGGTTCGCTCCAGAGTGTTTTGTGCACCTGCCCGGAGATGAAAGGTGAGCCAGCAAACCAAGACGCTGATCTCCAAAAAAGTCCGCCGTGTGTGCTAGAAGTAGGAACCAAACCCTCAAGATGCTTGATGATGTGTGGACCCTCGGCTTTCAGTGCAAGCAGAAGCGGGCGCATGACCTGATCTGCAGTCTGTTTTGGCTTCCCTGCACTTTGCGCAGGTCACAGGTCCCTGACCCGGACTTACTCGAACCTTACACCGAATCTCAAAACTGGACATGCTTCACTAGACTTTTCTGTTTCGTAGAGTCGTCCAATCTCTAAAGGCTTGTAGGAAGGGAAGCAGTTACGCAAGCCCGAAACGATGTGCGATGCGAGACCGCCGGCTGCAATTCAGCAGCGTCCACAATGCGAGCAGCTGCATCGAAAAAGCTGAACACATGAACATTTGAACGAGTTGCCACACCCGGCACAACAGGGCGAATTTGCACAGAAAATCGCTATGCCCCAGCGCTGTCGATCACTGTGCCACGCACTGTAACGGATAGATTCGGATAGATGATTTGACGTAGCCGTTGGCCGCCGACATCGTCGACTAGAGAGTTGCAGTTACAGCTTGAGACCTGGATCGGAAAAGGTTGGTGGAAGTTGCATTGACCGTGCTTGTCCAAAACATGAAAGGCAAAAGGACGATGCACAGAAGAAGGCACAAGAAGCCTGCAGTACCGCAGAAGAGGCACTGCGAGCTTGGGAATTACTCACAGTTGCCATGTATGCCAGTCAGACGGAAGGCTCTCTGACTTGATGCAGCTTGATGCAATTGCCATCGTGCTGTAGACTTCAGAACTACCTAAGGTGACGCTGCGCAACCAAGCATTGGAGAAGCGCTTGGTGGAAACGGAAGAATTGCTTCGGAAAGAGAAGGTGCCTCTGCCAAGAGGTTTAAGCCCTGTGGACACCCCTGCGGCTGAGAGGAGAAGAACCGACAATTAGAGGCGCGGCTGCAGAGCCTGGAACGTACCGTGAAGGCCTGGCAACAAGTTGCGCATGTCTCTGCATATTTAACTAGGTCAAATCAGGGCACTCTGCTTCTTCTGACTGAATGAGTGGCTGCACTTTGGAACGCGAGCGACGAGGCCCTGGAGGAAAAGGCAGATGCAGCTGCACAGATGGGGCGTGCAGAGGGTGCATCCGAATTGGCAGAGGTGAAGAAGACACGCGGCGTCAACTTTGAACAGATAGTTCGTGTGTGTCAGTGTGTGTGTGTGTGTGTATGTGGAGATGAAGAATCCTTGCAGAGTCGAGTGGTTGTGCATGTGCTTGAGTGTTGCATTCAGGAAGTATGCGGAGCTTAGCGCTGCCAAGGACAAGGAGCTGCAGGCAACTGGGCTGCAGCGACGATCGACCTCGCAGTTTCAACCTTGCCGAGGTGGCACTCCTGGAACTGCAGGCTTTGGCACAGGGCCAGGACGGTAAACGGGTCTGAAGCAGGTGGCAATTTCAAGCTTGTCGCTTCGTGCCGGTGGTCTGGTTGCAGAGAGTACACGGAAAGCCGGAGATGGCAGACTTTTCAGAGGTCTGCTTTCACATTGCTGCGGTCAAGCTGTGGCTGTAGTTGCACCAGCAGCATGCTTTGCTTGTTTTCTTCGCCAAGGTGATCGGTAAAGAATCAGCCAGTAGCAAAGCCGGGCCGGCCAGCCATCCAGTCTCTCAGTCGTCTGTTTGAGAATAATTCCGTAGCAGTGGTGCTTGCGTCGGTCGCTGTCAGTCATTCTGGTGATTTTGGATGCAGGTCGTTCGTAGCACTGACAGCAGCAGGAGCAGCAAAGGCAGCAGGAGTAGGAGGAGCACGAGGAGTAAGAGCAGCATGAGCAGGTGCAGGAGTTACGATGAGTGGACCACACAGTTCAAGCACGGGAAAGTCTGTCGCCGTCTTTCGCCGTCAATATTTGAGTATGCAGGGCGCTTTGCCGCGAAGAACAGTCGCTCAGCAGGCTCTTTGCAACACGAATTTTCGGCATTGCAAGACTCAAGATTCAAGATGGCAGTGGCTTTCCACATGTTTCAACCTCAGTTTGGGTTTTACATGCGTCAGGAGCTCCTTCGTGCAGAGCTACGGACTAGTCTCCGGCCACTCGTGTCACCGCCCTGGCCGAGCCTCTCGCCTCCGCCCCGTTCGCGGCCCAAATCTCGCAGTCTCGACTTCAGCGTGTTCTCGGCTTGTTCCAGGTCCGCTGCCTCGCATTCCGACGATTCCCTGGCACCGTCGAGTGTCCAAGCCACTTCAACCGCAGCAAAGAAAGCCATCGGATGGTACGGCTGCGACAGTCTGCGGCACGACTTTTCAAGCAACCTGCGATTACAGGATAGTGCCGTGCCTCTCATGTCGTTTTGAGTAAAGCACCGACCGAGTCAAAGTAAGCCACGTCAGCACGATATGGTTAGACATCAGGGGGACTGAAATTCGTTTCCAATCTGAGGTCGGTCCTTCCTGTGAACAGAGGGGAACTTCCTGCCTATGGGGACTCGATGCTTGCTGCACCTTTCCCAACTGCAACATCTACATATATCTCTGCAGAGCCAATGGCTGCAAGCACCTTCGACAGCGGGGAAGGGCAGAGGCTCGACTTTCCTGCAGAACCGGTGGTTCAGAAACGCTTTGCCTGAGTGTTCTGACTCTACGTGGCACCTTGACCTGTCCTCTGCTTCTGCCTGTTTCTTTTGCACCTGGACAAAGCATCCAGGACTGTGAGCCGCCTCCAAGAGGAAGCCTCCCATCCTCCAACCCGGACAGCGTGACACCATGGTCCTTCGTGTCCTTTGACAAACCCTCAAAATCCGTCCCACATCTAAGGCTGAATGTCACGTGTCCGGAGTAGGCACGCCGTTCTCAGTCGTGTTGTAGGCTAATGTGACCCGACTATCTTGCACCTGTCAAGATCCAAGAAGCAAGCTGTGCACGCGAGTTCCGCAACACAATCTAAGCACTGAGGTACGTCTCCTTCTTGTGATGCATTGACTTGCTGTCTGATGGACTGGAGGTGACGCATAAAACGTGGCATCCATCACTGTTCTTTGAGATTAAGGGTGTTTTAATGTTTTGCAACGTTTCAACACAATAGTTAGAGCATGTTTCAGCCACCTTGGTATTCCTTGTCGCATGGATGTTGGTTGGGCTGTGCAATGCCGGCAAAATCGTCGCGGGATGTCCAGAGCTTGGAGTTCTGATCGTGCTTGCAACTTCACGGAGTGCCGTGCATCTCAGGTCCTGGAGGCTCCGCGGCCTGCGCCACAGGCCATGGATCAACCTCACCGCGGGGAGCCGCGCCTGGGCTGCGCAATGCCGTGCGCCTCTGAAACAGGCTTGCAGCTTGCTGCCACGATAGTCGCCCGTCTCAACATGGATGACTCGGCCAGGTCCGACAATGCCAGGCCGTGCGTCGGAAGCTGAGTCCACCTTGTTTCAACAAGCAGAAAGTCACGGAGCGTGGTGGAGGAAGTCATGGTGACACGTGCTGAGGCAGGCAGAGCAATTGAGCGGTCAGGTGCAACTCCCGTGTTGTGTCCAGATCGGTGCAGCTGCTGCAAGTCGAACGGCTTCAGTCTAACGCAGCTTGACCCACTTGAGGAGTTGTGTGGTGGTTTGGCCGCGGGAAATGTGGTGCAGCAAGGCGCTGCAGCACACGGAACATGTCTTGATTGGCGCGACTTTTGCGCCTCTTGCAGATGCCATGCCTCTGACAGCGGAACTGGAAGAACTGATTGACAAGACCATCAGCGAAATCCAGGAGTTGGAGAGCCAGGACCTGGGAGCCAGCGTCCCTGAGACACCACGAAGCATCACGAAGCTGTTGGAGGAGCGGCTATTTCTCTTGCAAGAGTCAGACTCCTCCCAGGACTTGGCCACGTTTCACCTCAGCTCGAAAATCTTGGCTACTCCTCCCGAGCACTGCCAGGATGCCAGGGCAGAGCTACGGCAGAACTTCTCCAAGGCTCGATTGAAGCGGCACACGTCTTATTTCGGCACACCTTCCAAGCGATGGTGTCTTGGACGGCCTCAACATGTCTGATGCATTCAGGCCTTTGCTTTTCAAGCTGCACAGGTGGATGTTCCCAGTCCGCCTCAAATACCTCGGGCAAAGCGTCCTGTCACAACAGGACTTCACGGCCTTAAGTGCCTTCTGTGTACTGCTGGAAGCCCACGGGTACTCGTGGCCACCTTTTCTGTTGGGCCACGACCTCAAGAAGGGGGCTCTGATCGGGAAGCTCGGGCGTCGCACATCGCTGTTTGATGTTTCGACAATGGTTACAGGAGTCGTGCAACCGGCAACTATGCCGAAGATCGTGTTCTTTTTGCAATCGTGATGGTATCTCCAATCATGTGAACAGAACATCGCTGACGAATTGAATCGTGAATCGTGTTTGCTTCACTTTCGCATGAACGGTGCAAACCTTGTCCCCTTCCCAGAGGAGCTCGTGAAGCTGAAGTGGAGGCTGTCGAGCACTGCCGGCGATTCCTGGCCCAAGCTTGCCGGCCACAGGTGAAGATCAGGCCAGGTCTGCCAAGCCGTTGGCTTGTGATCACACTGTTGAGTGCCAGGACACCCTATGCTGTTCCGAAGTTCGACTTGACGGATGCGGAACTCAGACATCCTTTCGACGCTCGGAGATGCTGCAAAGTGCAGATGGAGTAGGAGCATGCGACCTGTGGCATTTTCCTCTCGCCGAGGAGAAGTCTTTGGAGTCAATGTCCTTCGACCCTTTGCAGTTCCGGATCCTACGCCGATCTGCCTGGTGAGACTCAGGGGACACATCCGACATGCGTGGGGGGCTTTCAACAGTCCTTCTTGCTCTTGCCATTTCTTGCATCATGCGAGCTCCAGCCTTCTGCTGCATGTGATCAACTTTTCAACTTGATTGGGTCTTTCGGTTCAAGCCTTGAGTCATCGTTCCTTCATGGCCAAAGTTAGGTCCGAAGACACAAATTTGCATGTAGGCATCCAACAATCTGTGGTAGCCCAACCCATTTTGCTCACAACATGGGCTGCACACAGGCCGCTGATTTGTCTTTCTGCATTTTATTCGAGTCCAGGACTTCCTCATTCCTCAGTCACTCTTGATCTTTCTCTTTTTGGAACAGTACCCAGCTTGCATGCATTTTGCCTGCAACAGCCTCCAAATCTTCTGAACCCTGATGCTATTGCCGCTTGCTCTGGCTCGCAGCTTGGACACAGGCATTGTCCGCGAGGGCCACAAACACCGGAGTCAGCCGGCGCTTCGAAGCGCGAAACGGGTCAGCCCGCAGAGACCAACATGAGCAGCGAGTGTTGCGAATTCCCATCTGTTTTGTAATGAAGGGGCAGCTTGCAGACTGAAGCAGTGCTGCGACTTGTTGGGGCTGGCTCGCAAGGGTCGACAGCCAGAAAGTCAATACTCCCACCACGTAGCCAAATAGGTTCCCTCCGCAGTCTTTCGCACGCATGCCGCATGTGCTATCAGTCCTTTGAACGCTGGTGGCGCCGATGATCTGTGACGGCTGTCATGGCACCTCCTGCTGCCTCAGGCTGGCGGAACCGCGGAACGTTCCTTTCCGTGAAGGGGCACGGGGGCACCAGTCGTCGTAGGTCCTGGCGGCCCTGGCGATGTTCCACCACTTCCGGCTCTTCTGCGAGGCTGCGGCCTCGGTCCGCACATGTCCGCTTCGCATCTCGGTGAATCCGCCACAGGACGAGAAAGACGAGAAACGAGGAGACACGAACGGCTGCAGACCAAGTTGTTCTGAGAAGGCAGCTCAAAAGCCTAAGCAACGCTTCGCCGACTCGTCATCGAGCCTTCTATGCAACGAAAGTATGGAGTCTGCAGCTCGTTTTATTCCTAGACAGTACATTTTGGAACAGTCCGTTGCAAACCACGTGAGAAGAGGGCTCCAGCAGCGTTGCGGCAGACTTGACGTCATTGAGCTTAGACAGCCGTCTTTCGTGCTAAATCATGCCATGTCGGATAAGGCCAGTAGACCCTCGACGGATCACCGCCGAGATTTCCAGGTTGGGCACGGAAGGCACGCATCACAACGTTGTTTCTTCACAACGTTAGGGGTGTTTGCTTCCAGCGAGCTTCATTGCCGAGGTGCTTGGCAGGATGCGCTTCAAGTGGTCGAGTCCTTCCGTGCCAGTCAGGGGCAGGCGCTTCTCAAGCGAACAGTGCGCTTGTCGGGGGATAGGCTTTCCCTTGTCCAGAAAAGCTGGTGACGGAGTGAGTACTTAGTGAGTACTTGGGGAAGCAAGATGCCACGTTATGCACCTAGTAGCTGTAGAGGGAACTTCGGAGAAGCGTGCCGGCCAACATTGGCGCGTGGCCGGTCACACGATGCAGAGGCGATGTTGCTCGCTTCGTGCCTGATGGGAGACTGTCGAGGGAAGAGCCCTTGTCGCAAGAACTTCTGCGAGGATGGCACGCTCTCTTGCCCCTGTGCCGGCTTTGCCTTGGAACGTTATTTGCCGGGCTGGCACAAGGGGGCAATGATGTCTGAAAAGCCGGGAGGTACGAGCGCCTTAAGCAGCACGTCCCACCGTGACCAGCTAGTCGCTTTCTCGCCCACTCACTCGCCCACTCACTCACTCACTCACTCACTCACTCACTCACTCGCTCACTCACTCACTCGCTCACTCACTCACTCACTCACTC